AGGCTCGGGTGGGACACCACTTGGGTCTGGGTATGACTGGCTGACGACGGATAATAATCCAGAAATTGCCATTTCAGTCTCCCTTATCTTTGCTAGCAATACTACCTGCCTTCTACCAGTTGTTACGGCTGTCAGGGCCTCTGTCGAGTCCCATGGCAGAGCGGCGCAGATGAGTTCCGTTAGCGGTTAGGTTAACGTTCGTCAGCGAGCAAAACTTATCTTAAGCACGCATTATTTGTTCCGGCGCAGTCATACGTCCATTCCCTCTGTCCTGGGCCCCTTGACCTCGTTTGCTGCATTCGCATTGGTTGATTCCCCTCACATTTTGCTCAAAACCTCTTTCCATGTTTGCTTATAAACCGACAAGCACGCGAGAGACCGCTCCGCTAATCATCTAAAATGTATGTCCACTCTTCTTTGGTTTTTACCCAGGCTTGTTAACTCTTGTTTCTCCTGTTTTTTTTTTATTACTGTATAATATCGGAGTTATCCTGACTGTCTTTGACATAACATTTGACGCTGGATGCGTCTATTCCGGTGAATAAACTAGCACTAAATCAAGAAAATCTAAGCAACATTGACCATTTTTATCAGTCATTCCCTCGAAAACATGTATTTTGGATTAGCCCTGATGCACTCCGGAAAGGGAAGAATGCGAATTCTTGCTAGGCCCGAAAAAGGCTGGTCCTACTGCGCGACTGTTGTAAATGTTGCCCAAAAGCCGAGATATCACCGCCTAATTACGCCTTCTGTGTGAGTTCCCGAGGAAGAACACAACAAGAAGAACGCAAAATTGAAAGTTTTGTAGCTTACTTAGTACAACAAACGCCTTTATAGTTATGTCTATCAAACCAATCAGATACTGTTCTCAAGCTAGGAGCGACTTGATTGGCTTTTGACTCACCCGGTTGGCTTGTCGGAGTGCTAGCCTGGCCGGAGCCTTAAACTTTAAATTATGTATTTATTGGTTGCCAGATTACGTGCGCCGCGTGTAGATGGACCGATAGCCTGGCGTGAGAGCGACTCGCTGTCTGCCTGCCTGCTCGCGTGTCTCTTAGGGCGGCTCCTAACAGAGACTACCTACAGGGGATGCAATGCTGGGCTTTAAGATGGTCGGTTTCATATATTACAAGACAAGAAGACCATATTGCATACACCTGAGGTAAAGGGAACGTTTTGAAACATGTTGATGACAGAAAATAACTGTAAAACAGAGGAAATCTGTGCGCTACTTCTGAAAGAAAGAGATTAACAGGGATATCACTTACAGGCAGACTGGGATGCTCTTCCCACGGCAGCCCTAAATCCATTGAATTCAGGGAAGCATTGTCGGAAGAGGAGGGCGACTGTTGACTTCGGTCTAACGGAGGCACACGGCCACCTTGCCAGGCCTTCTCCAGGTACTCTTTGTGCCCACGAACAATGTAGACAACATGATCACCCAGCTGTGGCACGTAGGGCGAGGCAATAGGCGCGGTAGCGGACAACCAATCAAGATCCGGTCCAGGCCAGGCGCCGTGTGATGTATCATTGTGCAGGGACTGGGGGGTGTTGGGATCACGGCAAGTTAGCGGAGCAGAGTAACCAAGAGGCGGTGCGTGCTCCAGAGGCAGTTTGATGCGATTCTATAGACGTAAAGTGGTGCCAGTCAAAAAGAAAACGTAGAGAGTGGGAGAGTGATGAAGAGGGCGTA